TCGCACACGAACTGTTTCGCGAACAACGAGCTTTTTTGACAGCCCTACGGCTCATACAACCCTATAAAATAATGCTATACATCATTCATATGGAAGGGACTCGTAAGATTCTCTCTGAATCTGGAGAATCTGAGTCGCTTTTCCGGCTGAACAGAAGCTTCATTCGAGCGATAGGCGCCTGAATCACTGCATTGTGCGTGTTCCGCTCGATTCATGCTTCTATTTTTGTTTGGGATTTTTCTTCATTCTCAGGGGATTTGATGCAGTCTCGGGAGATTTCTTAGTTTATTGTTTTCGGGAGCTTTTTTTCAGGATTATAGTTTTAGTTTTATTTGGATTTATTGCTTTGTTGAACTGTTTCTATTTCAAGTTCCTATTTGCAGAGAATTAGTGCAATGCGTTCTTTGGAGCGGTGCAGGGATGTGAGGGGTTCATTTTTTTTTCTTTAGCTTGAGTTCTTATATTGCTTATGTTACTATCATTTTGAGTTGAATTCTAGTTTTAGTTACTTGAATCTGTTGGCTTGCTGAATTATTTATGCTTCATGTTCGTATCGGCTGAGGATTTTAGTAATGCTTCGTTTGGAGTAGTAATTGGCATTTTTAGTTCTCACTGTTTTGATATAAATTGATATTTTTAATTGTTCATTCAATGAGTATTTTTGGATTGCTTCTGTATTGGATTTTCGTTTTAGTTAGTTGGATTTGTTTTCTTGCTGAAATATTTCTACTTAAAGTTCGTATCGGCTGAGAATTTGAGTAATGCGTCTTTTGGAGCAGTATTAGGGCATGTGGAGTCTCACTGATTTGCTCAAGAGATTCTGCTTCATTTTTTGCTGTAAGCATTTGGTATCTTTTTGCTAAAGAGTTGCAAGTTTTTGGAGAATATTTGGGATCGAGACGCATCATCTTGTTACCCTAATTGGTTTTGTTGGAGATATCCTTTTTTTTTAAATCTCCTTTTCATCTGAATTTTTTATTGCGGACAATTTGTTAGTTTAAATTATTTAGTAATTTCATCGTTCTTTTATGCCATTGATGGATGCTCAATTCAATGAATCGAATCAGTAAGAAAAAATTAGATCTACAACATTTAAGTTGCTGATCGAAGGATCTTTATTTGTCTTTCGCTAGTTCAAGTTTATGCTCTCTTTATCACATGGAACTAGTTAAATTTTTGGCGATGCTTCATTGATTTTTGCAGGCAGTGATGCCTTCTAAGGTTTATCGAATTCCAATGTAGATATGCTATAATTTGGTAGGCTATCTTTATTTCTTGTCTCTTTTCCTATTTGCTGCAACAAACACTTTTCAGCTCTATTTTATGCTCTGCAATATTGGATGTGATGAAAAGAGACTTGTAAACTATTTTCATGCTTACGCCCCTTTCCTTATATGCGCAACAGTTAGGTAAGGGACTTTTATATCTGCAAAAATGGCATTTGTGAGAAGTCCATGGATAGAAAGATTTTCTTCATCATCAGCTTGCTGGAGGGTGACCTTCATGTTATTTGTTGCTTTTGCTCTTGTTGGAGTTTGGATGTTCACTTCTTCAACTGTTGTGCCTCTAGAGATTTCTCCACAAGAAGCAAGTAAATTTGAGTTGAAAAAGCAACTTCCTCAGACTGATTCTAGGCCATCAGAGAATGGCTCTGGCAATGCTTTCACTGAGTCATACATGTCTACAGATCATAATTGGGATGATAGTCAAGCAGATAAATTTGGTGAGGCACAATCAGAAGGCAGTAAGATTGATGTGGGTAACCAGAGAGATGGCCAGGACAATGTCATAGGTGAAAATGTTGAGAGGAATGCCAGCCATATGGAAGACAAGACAATTGGTGATAAATCCAATAATGTCATGAAAAATGAAGAGCCCAATTTAAGCATGAATATTAATGAATTTAAAGATGGTGGGCTACAAGAAAATGATAAAAAAAATTCAAAGCAAAGCGAAAATAATGATCATGATGGAATGCTTAGTGAGAAGGATAATATTCGTACAGGGGATGTAACAAAGGATGAAGTGTTTCCTAATGTTTCCCAGTTAGAGCTTTTAAATGAGACCAATGCTCAGGTTGGAGCTTGGTCAACACAAGCTACTGAGTCAAGGAATGAGAAGGAACTGCAGGTGTCTTCTTCATGGAGCGAAGTTACCAAATACAATTGGAAACTATGTAACGTCACTGCTGAAGCAGACAATATTCCTTGTCTGGATAATGAGGAAGCAATAAAGAGACTGCCTACCACAAAGCATTATGAACATCGAGAGAGACATTGCCCCGAGGAGGCCCCAACCTGCCTTGTGCCGCTTCCAAATGGATATAGAGGGACAATTAAGTGGCCCAACAGCCGAGAGAAGGTATTTTCTTGCTTAATTTTTTGATTAATTTTTATCAAAATTAAATGTTAAACTCAGTTCGGTTGCCTGGAACAGATATGGTACTACAATATCCCTCATACGAAGCTTGTAGAGCTGAAGGGCCATCAAAACTGGGTAAAAGTTTCAGGAGAGTATCTGACATTTCCTGGCGGTGGAACTCAGTTCAAATTTGGTGCTTCTCGCTATATTGATATCATTCAGAAGGTTTTAGCCTAACTCCTTTTGTACAATCTAGTAGATGCTGAATGCCTATGATTATATATGTATATATATATATATATATATATATATAGTTATTTTTTATAATAAATAGTTGCACATTTCATAGTCCAAATTTGATTAAGTGCTAGTTCTAGGTGCTTACGTACCTTGACCATTTTGGATCAAACCATATGCAGCTTCAAACAAGGAAAATACATTTATGAATTTTGATAATATTTATGACGAAAAAGTTAGAAAATGCATATAGCGTCCAAGTGAAAGAGCACATGCATTGTTGAGCTCCACCAAGCATTGCGCCACAAATTAGATGTCTTAGAACACCATTGAATAACCATCATTATGATCTAAACTTAAATATACAACAACAACAACAAAAACAATAACAAACCTTTATCCCACTAAGTGGGGTTTGCTACATGCATCATTTTTCTCCATTGTGTCATATTTTCATTTAATTCTAATAAATTAAGATCATTTTTTATACACTATGCCCAAGTCTTTCTGGTCTACCTCTGCCTTTCTTAACATAAGCCAAGTCTAAAACATCTACTCTCCTAATCGGATCATCAGATGATATACGTTTAATGTGACTGAACCATCTAAGACGACTCTCTCTAATTTTGTCCTTAACTGGAGCTACACCAACCCTATCCTGGATATATTCATTTCGCATTTTTTCTCTAAGTGAAAAGTCACTCATCCACCTAATCATTCTCATCTCGACAACACTTAACTTAGTTTTATGCTTCTCTTTTAAAGATCAACATTCAGCGCCATAGAGTATTGCAGGTCTCACCACCATCTTATAAAATTTTCCTTTCAGTCTAAGCGGTACTTTTCTATCACATAATAGGCCTTAAGCATTCCTCCACTTCAACCAACCAACTTGAATTTTACTAATAACATCCCCATCTATATCACCATAACTTTGAACAATAGACCTGAGATATCTAAAATGTTCACACCTTTTAATAATATGATCACCCATAGTTACAATTCTGTCACTAGAGCTACTACTACTAAAATTACATTTCATGTATTCAGTTTTAGTTCTACTTAAAGGAAGGCCTTTAGACTCCACTGTAGACCTCCATAATTCAAGTTTTTTCCTATGCTATCTCTCTCGTCTTATCCAAGAGAAGGATATCATCAACAAAATGCATACACCAAAATACATCCTCCTATAAATGTCTAGTATGAGTATCCATAACTAAAACAAAAAGATATGGGTTTAAATTTGACCCCTGATCTAATCCAATAGGAATAGGAAAATATTTGGTCAATCCTCCTTCTGTTTGAGCACAACTAATAACTCTAGTATACATATCTTTAATGACTTGAATATAAGTCATATCAACACCTTTCTTTTCAAGAACTCTCCAAAGGATATCTCTTGTAATCTTATCTTAAGCTTTTCTAAATTAATAAAAATTATTTGTAGATCCTCTTTATTATCTCTGAACTTCTTCATCAAACTGTCTGACATAAATCCAAATTGATTATGAGAAATCTTTGTAATACGTCTTAACCCATGTTCAATTACCCCCTCCCATAATTTTAAAGTTTGACACATCAACTTAATTCTCTATAATTTGCACATTTGTGCATCCCCTTTATTCTTAAAAATGGGGATCAAAATACTCTTCCTCCACTCCTCATGCATCCTTTTAGTTTTTAAAATAAAATTAAAGAGTTTATTAAGCCAAGAAACTCCCAAATCTTCTATATATTTCCACACTTCAATTGAGCCACACTTCAATTGAGATATTATCAATTGAGATATTATCAGGTCCTACAGACTTTCCACCTTTGATTTTTTTAAAGCCTTATAAACTTCTTTTTTACTAATGCGACGATAAAAATAAAACATATTATTATTATTAACGATATTAAAATCACTAAGCTCGATTGTATTTTCTGAAATTTCATTAGAAAGTTTATCAAAATAACTCACCCATCTATGTTGAATATCCTTTTCTAAGAAAAACACTTTTGGATTTTCATCTTTAATACACTTTACTTGAGTTAAATCTTTATTTTTCTTTTCTCTTTGTTTGGCTAGTTTATATATATAATCCATTATAAAGATCACTAAAAGTGAAATTTTTAACATCACAGATTATTCTCTTAGTTTCCTTACAAACCATTTGATATTTTTCTCATTTCTCTAAGCTTTTATATTTAAACCAATTTTTATAACATAACTTCTTTATAACTTTTTATATTTTATATTTTTTTGCATATTATTATTCCACACCAACTATTTTTATTTATAGAAACTTTTTCTTTTGGTTTTTCAAGTACATCTTTTGTCACTTGTTTAATAGTGTTTGTTATTTTATCCCACATATAATTTGCTTCTTTATGAACATTCAAAATCTTGAAATTTTAAATTTTACTTATAAAAATAATTTTATTTATATCTTTTAGTTAACCTCTTTTAATTCTACAAAAATGATTCTTAGTATTCTTTATTTTAGAATTATTCATCTTAAAATTTGCTGCCTACCAAATCTTGAAGTTAGAGTGGTCAGATCGTGATTGACCATTGCTATTGTCAAGACATATCGGGTTCTGACTCTGGTCTCTCTTATGCGCTCATAATCCTCATGGAAAAGTAAAACCAAATGATAATTAGCACTTTACATAAGACTATAAGTAAATTAAAGAATTAAAATAAAATAATATTTTACTTATATGAACTTGTTTAGATCAGGCCCCAAACGCCGATGTGTCCAGACATGCAACTCTACAACAGTGGTCTCCTTTCAAGCCTCTGTCGCTATTAACGTATAAAAAGAAGTATTATCAGTAAATTAAATGAATTGTTTTGTATTGAATGAATCTTACTAACTTTCTCAGATAGTCGGTATGCGGGACCGAGTTTCCATTGTGTAACCTTGAACCCATGACCCCACCATTGGCTGCTCAATTCTACTGGGTCGTCTCCCTCTTCCTGACATACACACAAATGAAGACATTCTAAATATATGTGTAATTGTACTGGGACATTTACAAACATACCACCCAATTCTTAACACACACACACACACACACACACACACACCCCTATATATACACATGTACATGTATGTGTGTGTGTATTTACATTTATATCACCCAAATTATTCATATTACATAAAAACACCAAATTAATAAGATATCCTAAATTTATGTGCAAATGTATTGGGGTATTTACACACACACACATAGAGACGCATATACATCTATACATACACACACATCTATAGACACACACTTATACATGTATACACACACACTAATACATATGTACATATACATACGCTTGTGCGCACACAAAATTAAAGGGGGAATTTACATACCTACCACCCAAATTCTTATGTATTTACTAGGCTAACACACACACACACACACACACATATATGTATAAGCAAATGAGGCTTTTACATGCATATCACCCATTTCTTATGTATTTAAAATTTTAAAACCTAATTTTTACACCAAATCTTTCTTTTACGTACATGCCTCCCAATTCATATATATTTTCATATGTCAAAAACTAAACATCATCAATGCATTTACATTGACACCACTCAAAACACTCACATAACCCTAAATCCTAAACGACAAAAATCGGTGATGAAAAATAAAAGAAACTCGGGAGAGATAAAAAAACAATGATCATTTGGGATTGAACAGATTCACCTGAGTCAAACTACTAGCCGTGAGGCTGTCGAAGGTGAAGAACTGTTGCAAGCATCACTGAAGAGGAGAGTATAGTTGAGAGTTTTCGAAGCCCTAATATCGCTCGAGTGTAAGAGAGAAATTAGAGAAGAGTGCGAATGATGGTTTGACGGGGATCATATTAGGTTTAAAAAAGCTAGCGTCAGATTACCAGTTGGAATTTCCTCTATAAAAATTCTTCGATGGAAGTTTCTGCAAGTAATCCGCCGCTACTAAGTGAATTACATTGCGGAGCAAACTTCACTCGCGTTCTCCGCCGTTAACTTAGTGCGGTGGAAATTTCTGCCGCAAAATCAAACGCTAAATATGCCTGTAGCAATTCTAGCCACAAAAAGTACATCGAAAAAAAATCAGCCGGTAATTAGTTGTTTTTTCGTTGTGAATAAAAGCAATGGAAATAAAAAAATAATAGATCTCCTAATCAACTCGCTTCCATAATCAATCAAAGCACAACCATGTCATTTCCAAATTTGAAGCTAACAGTTACAAGAAGTTGCATCCCAATAAACCATTCTTGCCACTACATCATCATATTAGCCATAACAAAATTTAAGGGTAATGAAGTTACTAGTCAATGGACTTCAAACAAAATTTACATGCAATCAAAAGAGGTTTAGAGAGATTAAATAATAAAAACCAACCAAGTATGACCCTCGCGAATCCAATGTCCAACGCAATGGTTCAAGACATATCTGTAGGGCATCACCAAAATGGGAAGCATTAATCTTCCTGCTACCAACCATAGAATAATCTTAAAACTACAGGACTCTAATTGAGCCCATCTTAATAAGTATGAATTGCATCTCAATACGACTTCCATCGTATTCTTGTATCGATTAGTTTGAAAGAAACATGAGGAAACATTAAACTAACATAGAACAAATGACATATAAATGTCCTGCTTACGTGAGATGGACAAGGAGCATTACTCTTGCTCTAGACGAACAAGAGATGAAAATTTCGTCCCTTGAAAGCTGTTGTGGGACTTTCCAAGCAGTTCACTGCTGTTAGGTCTTGTCGGGCCAAATTTTTATGTTATTTGAATTAGAGCTAGGGTTATTTTTTCTTGGGAATTATTTATAGGTTGTGATTTTCTAGTTTTGAGAATTTTTGTTTGGTTTATTTTACTTGGAGATTTCTTTCTCCCTGTTTTTTCTATTGGAGTGCTATATGCTTTGATTTCTCTCAGGTGGTGTTGTTGTAACCTAATTGGATTGAGCTGTTGATCTCTCTCGGAAGTTCGATGGCTTCTCCCCCACTCTGAAAGAGCTGCTAAATGATGTTTGACAGCAGAACCCCGTTGTTTACACATAACCGGTGTCACGAGTTGGTTTGATAGCTTAGAATTGATCAAGTCAGGAATTACGGTCAGAAGACATTAACATTTCATTTACTTTCCACAAATTTTCATAAATTCTAAAAAGATCTACAAAGAATTCACAATGTACATTAAATATAAATTTAAATCATACATAAGCAATAATAAAATTTGCAAGTGAAACAATACAATAATTATAACCACAAAATACAACATAATACTTATCAACTGCAGTTCTTCTATAAACTAAATCCCTTTTGTTAGATTTATCAAATTTGAGTTTTTCCTATAAGAAACAATTAAATTAAAAAATAAATTTTTACGATATAGTGAGCAATATTAATCTTATAATACATTAAATTAATATGTAAATACTATGTGTGAATGATTAAAAGAAATGTAGTTCATTTTTAATTTAAACCTTCCTGTTTTAATTTAAGTATTTACGTTTTTTAATCTTTTTAAGAAGTCATATCATGATTACTGTCATATTCGAAAGTATTTTCAAAATTTTGCACCAAAGATACATCTTTATCATTTATCTTTTTTTTTTTTGCACACGAGTACACACAGCCTTTGACTGTATCATTTGGGTTTCCTGATATTAATTATTTAAATTAATAAGAAATTTTTAATTAATAAATTCTTAACTTTTTTGAAAGATTGTTAAATTGTATGATCATTTTCTTGAATATAATTGAGACTATGAAAACTTTAAATTTTATTTAGCGTGAATAAAAATAGCTATTAATAAAAAAGCATTTTATTATTTATATTTTCTTTAATTTTAAAATGTTTCAAAATAGTATGCTTTAATAAAATTTTTTTTTCCAAATGTTCCAAATAAAAAAAAAAATTAAAATTTTTATGATATAGATTTAATTTCATATAAACATTTAAAAAACTAAAAAAATTGCTGAGGAACAAATTGTGCATGTAGTTGGCAAATTTTTTCTTTTTATTTTTTATTTATATTTTTTGCTAATTTAATTATTTTTGATGTTTCATTTAAAAAAACCCTAATCATTATTATTATTTTTTAAGCTAACACATACTCAAATGTGTTTGATGTTGAACTCAAGACTTTGTGGTTGGAGACAATGTGGCCCAGTAGGCCAAGTGGGCTGCAAATAATATTTATTAGTTAAGTAGTCCTACTATCATTAGGAATTCTCAATTGCTTATAAAAAATGTGTCATTCATATTCTTAGTAACTTCTGTATAACTTCAACACATTTTGTTCTCACCGCAACCAAATTAAATCTCATGTAGTGGATCATATGCCATTAAAAAAATTATTCATTGTGCTTTATACTTTCAATCACTAAGTACAAATGTGATCTCCATAATATACCTTCTTGCCATAAAAACTAATCATTTCTTTGATGTCAATATGATTTTGTGAACTTAAATTCTAAGACTCTCTTGTAAACTCATCGTTACTTCACTTCTAACTATCCCAATCTTAAAAACCTTTTTAGTTCTAAAATATTGATGTTAAAATGTATTTTCTCAAATTATTTGGAATGTACTTTTTCTCGATGTGTTGATTTAAAAAATTGATTAAGAAAGCAATAACAACGTTTATAACCCTCCATAGCTCCAATAGGTGTCTTGTTGGACATGCAACTTATCTTTATGCATCTTTCTTGAAGCTACAAGTTTTGTATTAATCTATAATATACTTGATGATTCTTGTTAATTTGTTTTATTAAAAGGTTGTTTTCTTAAAACTCTAATTTAACCATTTATAAAAAAATACTTTCATTTTTTTAACTTGTGTACTCATGATTCTTGTACTTTCTCACTATGTCATTTCTTACATAGGATTTATTTTCAGGCTTCAACACACATGCATTTGAAACTGAATGAATATTTGCCTTCGGTAATTTTTTATCATGGCTGTTTTATTTTTTTCCTTCCATAATACCTGTCTATTGTATTAATTAATAATCATTTTGTAACATTGGTTTTACTTTTTTTTTTTTTCAAAAAATTTTTAGCTCAAATAATTTAGCTCAAATAAAAAATAAGCTCACAATATTTATTTTTTTCCACATCAGGAGCACGTATGTTTACTGTAATAACCCTTTGTTTATGGTCTCATTTTAACACCTGTTGCATATGATTTATTTTCGACTATCCTGTTTTTTTATGCCTATTTTTTTATAAAACTATTTACTCTTCCCTACATTAAGTTCAATTCGGCTTTTAACTTCCAATTTTCCTCTCATATGTAGAAAGATTAGAACTTCTCGCTTTTATAGCTATATAATTATGATAGGTAATATCTAGTCTCGTGCATGGCTTCAACATCATTATTTTTTTTGTAGTCATTTCCTGTTATAGCATGGGGATCTCGCAGCGGAGTCATTCTGCATGTTGGTTGTGGAGTTGCAGGCTTTGGAGGATCTCTGTTTGATAAAGACGTGCTAACCATGTCTTTTGCTCCTAAAGATGAACATGAAGCACAAGTGCAATTTGCCCTCGAAAGAGGAATTCCAGCAATATTAGCAGTTATGGGCACCAAGAGGCTTCCATTCCCTGGCATGGTTTTTGATGTTATTCATTGTGCTCGTTGTAGAGTGCCATGGCATATTGAAGGTATTTTGGTTCTTTGATTCATGGAATATTTTGAATTACCAAGTGTTTTGTAGGTTGCATGCTTAAGGAGGTATGTTGTAGGTGGCATGCTTTTGTTGGAGTTGAATCGATTATTAAGACCAGGTGGTTTCTTTATATGGTCTGCTACGCCCGTTTACCGAAAGACGGTAGAAGACATTGGGATCTGGAAAGGTAAATTTTTATTATGTGTTAGCTCCTTGATTCTATGCGTGGGAAAAAAAATATCTTTGCATTGATAAGTTTAACATTTTGGGGGCATATTTCTGAATTTTCCTTGGGCTTTCTTAGGTAACTTTTAATCGTATAAACTTTTCAGTTAAAATTTATTCACTCAGATTATGAGCACCAAGAAACATTTCCTTGTTTGATCTTTGTAATCGATCATCCCAGAATATGATCCTTTGAAATTGACTGAAATGATTGAATAAAATAATATTGCTTTAAATTAGAAACTTTCTTGTTTTTTTTGTATCCGCTTGAAGGGATACCTTGACATTTAACTATTGATTGTCATATAATTCTTATTTTTGCAAGCGTTTAGCTTGGCTGCAATTTTGATTTGGTCCGTCACTCCAAATAGGGATTAACCTGTTGATGGGAAGTATTCATCAACTATTATTTGCACTATGAAAAAATGGGCTTAGATTTAGGCATTATGCCAAGATGTGTGAACTAATTTTTTTTTTCTTTTGCGAACTGTTACCAGCTATGTTCGAGTTGACAAAGATGATGTGTTGGGAAATGGTGAGCAAATCAAAGGATTCTGTTAATAAAGTTGGTCTAGTCATCTTTAGAAAGCCTTCAAACAATGAATGCTATGAGCAAAGAGTGGTAAACACACCTCCTATTTGCCAAGAATCTGATGATCTGAATGCTTCTTGGTATGGTGTTTCCAGTGCACACTGTTCCGTGAAAAGTAAATTCATTTTTTTATTTGAAATGTAAAAATTGTTAATTTATGTTGTATGGTTTATAGGAATGTTTCTTTGCAAGCATGCATGCACAGGTTACCTGTGCATCCTGTTCTACGTGGTTTTGGTTGGCCAGATAAGTGGCCATCAAGGCTTGAAAGAGCACCTTATTGGCTGGACAAGGCTCAGGTTGGGATTTATGGCAAACCTGCTCCTGAAGACTTTCAAACAGACTTTCAGCACTGGAAACGTGTTGTAAGCAAGTCATACCTGAATGGAATTGGAATCAATTGGTCCACCGTAAGGAATATCATGGATATGAGATCTGTGTATGGAGGGTAAGAAATCATCAAATTTATCTTGTTGACTTACTGACTTATTTTTGAAAGACAACTTGAGGAAAAAAATCCATATTTGGACAATTTTCATTTATTAAATTTGTTGCATGCTAGAGGTTGAGTTGTGTGTGTGAGAGAGAGAGAGAGAGAGAGAGAGAGAGAGAGAGAGAAAATATTTGATTGCCTTATATATGTATAGCATCTCACACTTACTAGAAAAGTTTAGAGAGTTGGGGATTTTTTATGTGAAGAATTTAGAAGGTAAGCACTTTTACTAGTCGAAAATATTATTTGGAATAAGTTATAATATGCCTGTCTTCTCTCAAATAGAAGGAAGTGTCATTAATCATTAAATATAACTGAAATTTAGATGTTACTGGTATATTCTCCGTTTTAGAACACAATAGAACTGGTGAGTTAGATGGAGGTGACTACATTAGTCCTATTCTTAGAAACGAATGTGCATTGGCATTAAGAAGATCGATGAGATTTAACAGAAAAGTCATGGAAATCATTAAAGGCAGTCATATAGGACCTTCCATGGAGTAAGAGATGTTTGATCTGAATAATGAGGTGATGCTGGAAGATCATAGAGGTGATTAAATTTATTAGGAATGGCCCAACTTTTTGAAAAAGAAGGAAGCAAGACTTGAAAGTAATAGTGGAGTGGCATTGAAAGGTCATGTGGGTTGCCGGAGATGGCTTGATTGGTAGAAATGACAAGACTAGAAGGCATCAATAGAGCAGTGTTGGAAGGTCTAGTGGCCACTAGAGGTGATAAGATGAGTTCTCCCCTTGAGGTGGAAGATATCATGCTATAAAAGTGGCCAATGGAGCAATGTGGGAAGGTTGTGGAGGCCACTTGAGATGATCCTCTTCCGAAGCTACTGATGCATTATCTAGAGTAGGCAGGCAAATTGGACTTAAAGAGTAACCTTGGGTTTGTGGTGGCTAGAGGCAGTAGGGATGGTCATTCTTTGTAAATGAGGGTAGATTGTTTATTAGAAGTCAACATGCGATATAAAATTTAGGGGAAACTTGAGCAGGGATGTTATTGAAATTGTCAGGAGATTTCAGGTTGGCGGGCATCTAGAGTCCACAAGTGATTAGAGTTGACCTGAAACCTATAATTAGTAAGTGATTGTAGGCAGTCAGCTTAGTTGTTCTATTGAAAGGGAGATTAGGTGATTAGAAGTTAATTGATGGTGGTGGGTGACCATTGGCGTTTAGGAGTGCCTGAAATCACATGAGGCCAGCTGTTGGGCAATTCAGGAGTCGCGTGATGAAGAGCATCAGGTAGTGATAGGCATGGAGTGAGAATGGTGTCAAGTAGTGAAAGGCATTATGTGGCGATAGGAATCAGATGGTGGGTGTCAACTAAGCATCATGCAATCGTGGGCATCAAGCGATGTTGTGAGTTGTGATGGCCCTTTTTCTAGGAGGAGGAACTATGTGATTTGGACATGGAAAACAAGGTTGGATAATGGAAATCCAGAAATATGCAATAGAAACTTCAGTCGAAAATCAGAGCTTTGGATTTTTCTACACATCCAAGCCTTTTGATAATTGGTAAAGGCATGATGAGTGAAAACAAAGACAGCTAAATAACACTCCCAGCAGAGCTAAGTGTAAGAACTGAATTTTTTCTTTCCTCCCGCTATCTCCGTCCCTCCTTCAATTGCGTGATTCACACAATCTTGTGCAGACCACATGAATCGCATAGCGCTTCCACCATCTTCACGATCGAGCTCCAGTAATTAGGCAAGATTTTCTTTCCTTTTTTTTTCTCTAACTTTTGTGCTTTGTTTTTGCACTGTTTTCCTTATTGAATTCCCATGATTTCTCCTTACCATATTTTGCCGCAAGAACCGACTTTCCTTCTTTCGTTTCGCACCGCCTTCCATCCCAATTTAAAGAGGGCGAGGCTATGGCATCGACAACTCAACTGATCTCCCTTTTACAACTGCTATACCTAGCCAATCAAGCCTCTCACCTCCTTCTCGATGTTTTGACAGCCTCCGCCTCCCTCACCTTCTTATTTCTTCAACTCTGTAGCTGCCGTCCTCATCAATGGTCAGATACTTATTGTTGCCAAGACCTGTGGTGTGCTCCCTCTTTATTATTATTTTTTTGCTCATCTCTCTTCTAATAATGTGGTTATTCAATTTGAAATAAATTGAATTCACAGTTTTCACTTTTGCTTGGTAATCCTCAAGCTAGGCTAAGGTTAATTTTAATCGATCCCCACACCTAATTAACTTAATAAATAAATAATTTTAATACATTTATGTGCATAATTAACTTTTGGGAGTCCGACTTAAATAAGATCTACTAGTCAATGCTATTGCATTGTTAGCCTTGAGATAAAGAATTGCTCTTTATTATGGGATAACCATATGCTTCCTAGTTAGGAGCATTATCATTTCCATTTGTATTAGATTCCTAGCTATTTGAAGGTTTTTCAATCCCACTTTTTAAATTATGATGAATTGCATAAGTAATTAATCTTGCTTTATCGTTGCATTAACTCTTGTTTAATTACCCATGGTTTGTATTTTCATTACTTATTATTTTTTTATAATTTTGGTGTTTTAAATTTCAATATTGCAATTTTATAATAGTGCATAAAATTGTTGGATATATTGTTGTTATATTCATGTGATTTAATTGTGGTGCAAAATATATGCATAATATTAATATTATTGTGTCGGTATTAGACTCTTATGACTAGTTGGACAAACCTGTTCTCAGAGAAATCATTTGATTTTCATGAGATTGATACCTATCTTTCCTTATTTAGGGTGTCATAGAAAACAGATCACACACACACACCTGCATCGCGCTTCTATATTTCTGATAGTGTTAAAATATTGATAAGTTCTATATGTATAAATACACTTGATATTGTTGAATATTAACATTTCCTTTGAAGTGCATGATTTAAATCACTTATATTCATGATCATAAATATTTGATACTTTTGTTGTAAATTTTATTATGCATAAATTAAATTGTCCATTTTATTATTCATAATGCATTTGCCATTTATTTTATTGATTATGATTTAAGAAATAATAATTATTTATTGAGTTTGATTTTCAAACTCGTTGAATTTTTATAGCAGATTGCACTCAGTCACTTGGAGGAACTTCTCCACGAGCAAATTTTTCAGCTTTAGATTTACCTTTAAGTATTTTCATTTTTGCATTAGTTATTATATATATATATATATACAAAATTTTATGAAAATTTACAAACAAAACGTCCGTCTCATATGCAACAAGCGTCAATCATATCATTTGAGTTATTTATCCCATTTGTATGTATAATTGAGTTGCATAAAGAAATTAAGCTCCAAAGTTCTCTGCTTAAAACTACTTAAAATTTCCATCTATACATGTTTATACTTATGTGTAAATGAATGCATGAACTTACGTTCTCATTTTCTTGTATAACAAAAAAGGTTCATGAATTTTTCTGCCAAGATTCCCAGACTTCACTGTAATCTTATCACCTGCATTAGAATTGCTGCAAGAGAAAATCTAACATACACGCTCCCTTTTTATAACCCCCTTTTACTTAGTGTAGCACAAAATATGGTTAAAAGACGATCAATTATTAGCGAGGGATTCCTACACTCTATAGCAGTTATATTCTAGGATGCTATGTGCTCTCAATACTGTCACCGCCAATTGCTTACGAAGTCACAGCATGACTGACAACTCAATTCTGTAAAAGCCACAAACATATTGAAATTCTATATTTATAGAAGTGCAACAGAAACTGAAACAATTGGTTGCAAATAATTCTTTTGGTTGATATTCATGTGCTTTTTAGTGCCTTCAATTTTTTTTTTTGTCAGGTAAGCATCATATCTTTCAGTTGAATGCTATAGTGGATGATAGCTCACAAAAAAAGAAAAAAAAAACTGCATTTCCTGCTGCCTATTGTTTTTTATTTGGGAAATTTACATCTACACGACAGAATTCTTATGTATGTACACATCCAATGCCCAAAGTTTGATATTACACTCGAGCATTTTGGTATCATGATCCTATTAATGAAAATGTGTATTTTTCTTTCGAAAATATAACGATGGTGATACTTTTGATGTGATGTTAACAATTTGCGTGATATGCATGTAAATATGAATGTTTAGTTGTTAGATATGTAAAAACATAAGCATTTTTGTGGCATGTACGTAAATGCCCCTTTTTATTTCAATATTCAGGAGTAATGCAAGTGGTCATCGCCTATTAGTGTTTGATGCAGACCCCATAGCGTTTAATCCACTCGGCTACCTTTTAATACCTTTTTTTTTTTATGGTTTTTTTAGCTTTGCTGCAGCGTTACGTGACCTACCGGTGTGGGTGATGAATGTAGTCCCAATCGATTTCCCAGACACACTTCCCATTATTTATGAGCGCGGCCTTTTTGGGATGTATCATGATTGGTGTGAATCATTTTTGTGGCCTTTTTGGGATGTATCATGATTGGTGTGAATCATTCAGCACTTATCCAAGAACTTATGATCTTCTCCATGCTGACCATTTATTTTCAAGGCTTAAAACAAGGTTTGATTTCCATATATTTTTATATCTAATATTTAACATCTATTTTTTATATTTATTTATAAAACACACTAGTATCTAAATGACATCAAAAGATACAACTGAAAATATGCATATCACTTATAAATAAGTTAACATTAATAATATTTTTTTATCAAATTTAATATAAGATGTAATAAAATGTAAAAGTTTAGATATCAGATATATAAATGCTTGAGAATTCAGTGGTATATATGTATATGTGTACATACTGGAATAATTTTGATCCCTCCATTTAACACCCCAAAACAAGTGTGTCCATAAGAGCATTTATGCATATTGTTTCTTTGTGGCAATTGATATATTTCTCTAATTTTATTCTGCTATGATAATCTCACAAGGTGCAAGCTGTTATCTGTGATCGTCGAGGTGGACCGAATACTGAGACCTGAAGGGTTTCTGATTGTTAGGGACGACATGCAAACAATACAAGAAATTGAAAACATTCTAAAATCTCTCCACTGGGACATTAGACTGAGCTACTCAAAGGAGACTGAGAGTTTGCTTTGTATGCAGAAGAAAATGTGGCGTCCACAGGAAATAGAGGCAAAAAGTGCTTCTATTTCATAGCTAAAGAGTCACAGAATTTGGATGCATTTATGCTTCTTTTTGTTCAACTTATCGGCCTGCAGGTTAGTTTTTTATTTCAATATTTTTATTGTTATAAAATGATTTTTTTTCTTAGTTAATTTGGTGGTAATCATAGTTTGTTGAGATAATTTATAGTTAATCGGTTGCTTCTGTGATCCTTTGGTCCAACCTGAATCGAGTTTTTAAAATGTTTCCATTTTTTAGTAGATTTAATGTCCATGCCGCAGGAAAACTGCCTGTAATATACGATTTTGGGGTGTCAACCATACACTCGACATTAAGAGCTGTCGCTAGCAGAACTCGAAAATTTTGTTATATTCTGGGTTTGGACCGCAGGTCAACCCAAATATAATGACTTGATTCTTTGTTGAATATTTTCTTATGAAAAACATTTTTGGGGCGGATTTACATACATAGCACTCAAAACTATTAATATTAAGTATCTCACATCTAAACTTCAGTATTTACATCCCAAGCACCTAAAATATTTATATGACAATAAAATTAACACCCACCATTAACAACAATTAACACCGTTATCAGAGGGAGGCAGAATGAGTAGAAAGATGGGAGTTTTGGAGGTCTTTGTACGCCACGTTACTGTCACCCTCGAACTAAACATCGTCGAATCGAACACCACGACCCCGTCATTGCTGATCTGAATGCTGCGATCCAGTCGCCGCCGAACTGAATGTCACAATCCCATAGCCGCATAATCAATGGAGAAGAACGATGGGAGTTTCAGAGGACTTTCTACGCCGCAATCCCGTAGCTGCCGAACTGAAGGAGGAGAATGATGGTAGTTTTAGAGGTCTTTGTATGCTGCGATCCCTTCTCCACCGATCCTATGCCGTCACGATCCGACTCGGAACTTGGAATTAACCTAGTCGAGAACATATGGTCGGACGGTGAGAATTAAATTATCTATATTCATTTGTCATTTAACAAATAAAAAAACCACTAATCAAATTAAATAAAAATAATATATTTAAATTTACGTCGGTAATAGTTGTCTGTATCTTCTATAAACATTATTTCTTCTATCTTTCATTTTTTAATCACTTAAATTAATTTGAAAAATTACTTTAGAAATAACAAATAACTAAATAAGCCAGTGAATACTTATATTTTTGAACCATAGTAATACAATGAAAAAAAAAAATAATATGCATGTTAGTTAAATTATTAATAAATCAATATAAATAATTGATGTTATTCCATGAATCCTACTATATCAAAAACATATCAATATCATTTTCTATCTGTATAACTGTCATAGGAGCACCGTCTAAAAATTTATACCACTTAAAATATCAATATATTTTTTCATTTATGTGCACAAATACCTTAGCATTTGCCTACTAGTATCATAAAAAGGTGATTTCATCATATTCAGTCATGCATATATAAACATTATATCATAATTATTATTTACTAAAAATATATTTCATTTCTATTTACATATCAGACAATATAGCTATAAATCATTCAAATGATAATTTAAATAATGTTGTGCACACATATCATTCTTACAATATGAATAAAAGCTCACTAGAATTCAAAATCTCCCAAAAGAGCCCTTATGGGTGGTGGGCAGCCCAGGACTTAAATACTGTTTTTCGGCCCTACACCTAGCCGATGTGGGATTATTTGTCCATGACATTCTCCTCCACCCAATCACGTGACGCCCTCGTCACGGATCGACTCCACCGAGGGTCTCACTGGACCATGGAGAGTCCACACACCTGACTATTTGTTCTTGACATTCTCCTCCACCCAATCACGTGACGCAGGGCGTCACTTATCGGCTCCACCGAGGGCCCCACTGGACCATGGAGAGACCACACACACGAC